GTATTGTATGTATGTATGTATGTAGGTAGGTAGGTAGGGAGGTAGGTATGCATGCATGCATGCATGCATGCATGTGTGTGTATCATTGTGTATCTCTATGTACGTACGTATGCACGTACACGTACATATGTATGTTGGTAGGTAATAGGTAGGTAATAGTTGATGTAGACAGAAAGCTGCATCTTTATCATGGTGTTTGGGCAGCGTATATACGGTTCCCTAGGAAGCTTGGTGACCGTACGTATTGGGTGTCCAATTGAGGACAGCTTATCTTAAAATGATGGGTCATATGAGCTACCGTCAACCATTCGCAAAATGTGCGAACTATAGCCCAAAATCGTTAAACATAGCCCAAACAGCCATTATTCTACATACTCTTAGGGTTCAGGTGTACTAAACTACCCCATGGGAGCCTCATGTCCACCCTTAAGGATCCTTGGTAGCCCTCATCTTGACAGTAGCTCTTGCGACAGTGGGCGCATAGTGTGGTCCCCAAAGAGCCATCATCTCAAGAATTTGCGTCTCTTTTCGGGTATAGGGGGTCATATTAGGGTTATATTGGGGCTAAGATAGGATAGCAATGGCACTGTGCAAACCCTGAGCCTGCTCCCGCGCATAGATCTAATGGGGCAGAAAAGGCACGTTGGCAAAGCCGCCGCCGTTCGTCGCAGAGCCTTCCAATTTGCTTGCCGCGCGCATCTGCAAACGCAGGTTTAGGGAGGTTGTAGCATAAAGCTGACGGACGGCATCATTCAGGTCATGGAACCGTTCTAGCTGATTATTTCATGATGAACATCCACAAGCTCGCCGTATCTGCCCTGAATCCCGCTATGAAGCCCGGTGCTCGGTGCCCTTCTTTTGCAGGAACAGCCACATCAACTTCGGGCGGTACGCCAAGGAAGCTGATCACTCCACTCACTTGGGCACTCAGCTGCTTGATCTCTTGTCGGGTGACCTAGCCAGCGCCAAGTCTCATCTGGGGATTTGTAGGGGCTTCAGGAGGGACCCCAGCGCGCATCCTTGTAGCTTGCGGATGCTTCTGGGGAATGAGATGGGGACTACTTGGGGGGTCAAAGCATGCAGATTAAGCACTGGATCAGGGTTACATGGTGCAGTAGTATGAGAGTCACAGGCGGCGACGCCATACCATCAGAGGACTTGAAAAACGGGTCCGCGTTGGAACGCCTATGATTTAACTTTTTCAGGCAAAAGGTGTTCAGTAATCATTGAACCAAGGACCGTGATTTGAAAGCCCTATAGTCCCTCGTAAGCAGATGGAATATAGGGTATATGGGGATCTTAATTACAATATACCCAAAGCCATATTCTACTTAAGGGGAACTATAGGCCCTATGGGAAGATCCTGCAAGCAGTCGACCGAACCATACACTTCCTTTGAGCTGAAATCCTTCGTCCCAGCACCCTAATTAATTTAAGTAGTTTAGGATTTAGGGTTTGGGGTTTGCGGTTTAGGGTTTAGGAACACTACACCACATCACTGACACCCCCAAACCTACATTCTGAGCCAAAAGCCCTACATCCTGGAGCGGCAGCCCTACGTCCAGGATCTGGGTCTCCATAATTATTCAAGAAGAAGGGAACGCACGTAGTATGAAATCCTTACAGGTCTTAAACTCTATATCCGCCTATATACACCCATATATCATTGCATGCACCTATATAACCCCTTATAACCCCAAAAGAAAGACCCCCAAACTTTGAAAGCCCCCAATCCCACCTTATTCTCGAAGCTCATGCGCGCAAGATGAAGACTGCGGGCTGGCCCATTAAGCGTCATGCCTGGCGAGCACGTGTATGGTTGAGGGCTTAGTGATGTTTAGGGCTTCAAATTTCGGTTCCCCTGTACGACCATAGTGGATCCTATTATCCCAAAAGGCCACCTGGCAGGTCCATGGGTTCTCTTAACCACTCCCCTTAGCTACGCTGTTCTGCTTGCAGGTCCTTCTGTAACTAGGCTTACCAGGGCTAGTGGCCAAGGATGGGTGGTAGCGGGGGGGTTAAAAGGGGCAACTCCTGAGTGTATGGCGTAGGTGGAAGTTTCTCAAAGTAGGCCTGGCAAGCTCAGGGACATGCAGGGATGATGAGGGGATCATGGTGGTCCCGATTAGGACTTTTGTACATTTGAGCAGTCATATAGACATCTAGGTATGGCAACAGACTTTCCCGTGTTTATCAAAAATACACACGCACACACATGTTGGCTGTTTTGTGCACATGTCTTGTCCTTTAAGGGATGCGCAGGGCTTACTAGGACCTGATTATGTATTAGGTCATTCCTCCTTGAAGTGTCAGTCACCACAATCGGCAATAGGAGTTCTGACAGTCGTGCAACGGGGAATGACCCGAACTATGGGTTTGAGGAGGATTTTGCCAAAGTTTGCTAGCCTTGCGGATCTGTGATGAACATATGGAAAATGAGACGATGGTTCTAAGATTCTACAGAGACTGCATGACCTTCTGCTTGCTTAGGAAGGTTTGGGGTTGATCATGAACGTATAGTCCCCCTTGAGTAGATAGAATATGGCTTCGGGTATATCATGATAAGATCCCAAAATATCCCAGATTCTATTTTCTTAAGGGGGACTATAAACCCT